ACAATATCATTTATCATGTCTTTTGTTCCCCAAGCCAAGTTGAAATTTGAAATCATGGTGATCTATCACAGGATTTTTTTTTTAATTTAAAGCACTAGATCTATATACATTAATTGTTAATGGCAGGATATAAAAATGTTTTGCAGTATTAGAATAGTGACATGGTTATTTGGTATTTTATAGTACACTGAATGTCAAATAGAGAAATGTTGTCAGTCTGTTACCCACAAGGACAACAAGCCTAATTATTAAATCTCAAATTTATTATTTGCAAGAACAGTAGAATTCCTTGTCGTCGTAGTGACCATCACCATATTTTCCCAAGTGTGTGAGTCGGTATCTAATCTTTGGACTCCTGCTCTTCCATCAAATCAGTTGTGTAAACTCTGTACCACAATTGCCAATCTGATGGCAACAAAATGATTTCAAATTTCAAAATACTTAAAAATCATTACATACTGTGTTGGATGTAGATCCATAATATTGTAAACAGCTTGACAAAGCTGGGGGCAGGGCTGGAAATAGTGTGCAACTACTTGACAAGCAGTCTAAGGTTATCACACATAAAAAGATATTGATTACTTTTTAGTTTGTTTATATTTTGCTTTTTGCGCTGTAATAGTTGAACTATGTACAGATAACATTTTGTGCTGGAGGTATTTTATGAAGGAAATGAATTTCGTAATCTACCAAAGGCACAGTATGCACTAACTTATTATTTATCCTGTGACTTTATAGTTCTGGGTTTAACTGAGCCAATACTTCCTTTTAAATACTCGATATTGAAATCCAATGCAATAAAAATTGTTGATTTTTTATAGTAAGGGCTTTAGTGGTGTACAACAAAGAGGCTTGAGGCCCTTGGTTAAGGCTTCTGTTGACATTACTACCCTGGGAAAGATGTGCCACCTGCATTAGTGTTTTGAGGGCATAATTTGATGTGTTTATTTGGTTGATTAGGTGCAAAAAGAAATTTGCACTGAATGAATATGACTATCCTGTGGCACCTCCCCCCCCCCCCTTTAGCCAGTGAGCACTCGTAGCTGTTGTGCCATTGAGTGGGGTTACGCTGTTATAATTGTATAATGACTCTAGCTGTAGCTTCTCCAAGTAGCAGAATCTTTTATCTTCCAGCCTTTCATTGATTATTTTGTTTTATTGTTTCATGTTTGTAGATTCTCCCTGCCCTCTATAATAGCCAGCCCAGGCTCCACCTAAATTTTTCAAAAAACATGGAAATTATAATCAAATTTTAGGTCTGAGAGTGCATTTTCAGCCATCTAGAGGTGTCATAATCATAAATTTTCTTACCTCGGCCCCAACAATAGTGGACCCGAGGTGGTCTAGACTCCCTAGCTGTGAAACTCCCGGCCCGGGCCCTCTCTATTTCAAATTCCTATATCCGCCACTGTGAGTGTTATCAGCATTGTCAGCATCGTTATCATAGTCATCTTCATCATAATCATTGGCTATATCAAGTATTTTTCAGTTTTCTATTCATCTGGTTGTCTTCGTTAAGTAGGATTTTACCACTGCGCAGGCAGGCGTGGTTTAACGAAGAACAACTGGTTGAATACGGCCTTTGTTATTAATAGACTTAAAATGAAATGCTGGTTTATAAATTATGGAGCTGGTGACCTGGATTAATAACTCTTGTGGCACATGAGACGTACAGTAATGTTTCTTTAAAATAATAAAATCCATTTTAACCTTCCTAGGTAAGCATGTATGGTTTACAGTTAATTCTGTTGTAGCTCATTATGGCATAATATATTCCTACAAAGTTCCCCTTTTTAAAAATGGAATGGACCATGTATACAGTTCCAACCCTATTTTCTCCAATAATGTAAAAAAAAAATATTATCAAATTCCTTGAATTTCACATTTTCATACATCACACGTTTGAAACATAATACTGTAACCATCTCTACATAAAATCATGTTGAGTGAACATTTAGCCGAGTTTGCAAATTTAATGTATCCGATATTATCCTGATGATGATAATTATCTCTAAGAATTATCCCAGTTGTAGGCACTTAGGATTAAGAAGTAACAACTGGTAACAGTTTTATTCTCTAGAAATTATTTGTTTTGATAGTAAGAAGTTTCGGCATAGTCATAATATTATGAATAATTACTATTTTATCTCTTTTTGAGGAAGCTCTGTATTACTAGGATGAAATCAACAAAAAATATCAAAAATCTAAATCAATATTGTACCATGGTCCAGATCCCAACATTTGTCTTTATATTGTAGCTCATCTTCCCATGATTAACCAGTCATTGATTAAACATACATCCCTGGGCAGCATTCCATGCAGTATGTTACAACTATTACAGTATTGCATTTGACATTTAAACCCATAGAGTAGGTACCCTCTAAATTTTAGTGCCCACACTAGAAAAAGTCAACATGGATTTTAATTAAAATTTTCTTTTCTCAAGGACACAAACAAGGCTCGAACCCCTGATTTTTACACTAGAAACCCAATGCTTTACTGCTATGACAACTTGCTTCCATACATTTCTGCTTGTCATAGGTATAAATTGAAGTATTAAAAAAAAATATTTAAATATTGAGAAACAGTTAATTTTTCTAAGCAAAATTAAGTACTAATAATATAAGTAGTATACAGTAGTTAATGCTTAATTGAAGGTCTTATTTTTCAACTGTGGTCTGAAGCTGATGGTGATACCCAGTATTAAGTACTCTTGTTTGACCTATGATCTTTCTTAAACAATACCATGGTCATGGTCTACTAAATGGTGAGAAGTATATCGATATGTTAAAGTCGGCTAAGGTTTCAGTACATTTAGAATTAGTTTGTATTGATCTTGAAAATATACTATTTTCACAAAGACTGATATATCATTTTCTGTAATGTTAATTATTATAATGTTTGCGCATCACCAGTTGAACAACCGTATTTAGACAAAGCTGATATATCATATTCATACTTCTATGCTAGGAAATATTGGTAGCTCTCGATTACCAGTTGGTTATGCCTATCCAAATCTGCGCTTGCTGAGTATACTATGAGTATACTGCATAGAAGGCTCTAACTTAGCTTGTGAGTGTTACTTTAAGCTGTGCTGTCTAGATTGGTGTTTTCATGGAGATATTTTATGAGATATTTTGAATGTAACTTCACTAATAATTTTTAAAAGAGCAATCTGATTGTAATTCATGATGTTTACTGTATCCCAACAGGCTATTGGTTTGTCAGCCAGTGGAAATCGTTAGACTGTGGGCCAGTGGACTGGTGGCTTTTTGAACTGTGGGCCGTCGGACTTGGGGCTTGTCGAGCTGTGGGCGAATAGGCTAGTGGCTTGTTGCGCTGTGGGCAAATAGACTAGTGGCTTGTTGAGCTGTAGGCGAATAGACTAGTGGCTTGCCGAGCTGTGGGCGAATAGGCTAGTGGCTTGTCGCGCTGTGGGCGTATAGACTAGTGGTTTGTCCAGCTGTGGGCGAATAGGCTAGTGGCTTGTACAGCTGTGGACGAATAGGCTAGTGGCTTGTCCAGCTGTGAGCAAATAGGCTAGTGGCTTGTCGAGCTGTGGCGAATAGGCTAGTGGCAAATAGGCTAGTGGCTTGTGGAGCTGTGGGTGAATAGGCTAGTGGCTTGTCGAGCTGTGGGCAAATAGGCTAGTGGCTTGTCCAGCTGTGGGCAAATAGGTTAGTGGCTTGTCGAGCTGTGGCGAATAGGCTAGTGGCTTGTCGAGCTGTGGCGAATAGGCTAGTGGCAAATAGGCTAGTGGCTTGTGGAGCTGTGGGTGAATAGGCTAGTGGCTTGTCGAGCTGTGGCGAATAGGCTAGTGGCTTGTCGAGCTGTGGCGAATAGGCTAGTGGCTTGTCGAGCTGTGGCGAATAGGCTAGTGGCTTGTCGAGCTGTGGCGAATAGGCTAGTGGCTTGTCGAGCTGTGGCGAATAGGCTAGTGGCTTGTCGAGCTGTGGCGAATAGGCTAGTGGCTTGTCGAGCTGTGGCGAATAGGCTAGTGGCATGTCGAGCTGTGGCGAATAGGCTAGTGGCTTGTCGAGCTGTGGGCGAGTAGGCTAGTGGCTTGTTGGGCTGTGGGCAAGTAGACTAGTGGCTTGTTGAGCTGTGGCGAATAGGCTAGTGGCTTATCGAGCTGTGGCAAATAGGCTAGTGGCTTGTTGAGCTGTGGGCAAATAGGCTAGTGGCTTGTTGAGCTGTGGGCAAATATATTAGTGGCTTGTTGAGGGCAAATAGACTAGTGGCTTGTTGAGCTATGGTCGAATAGACTAGTAACTTTTTTAGCTGTGGTAGAATAGACTAGTGGCTTGTTTTGTGGCCATTGGCCCATCATTCTGCTGTGGGTAAATAAACTCTGGCTTATTGACCTGTGTCAACCTACTATGGTCCAATAGACTATCATTGATCTGTGGGCCATTGGCCTATCATACTGCTGTGGATGTATACTGTAGGCTAGTGGCCTGTGAGCGATAAACTGGTGGCTAGTTGATATGTGGGCCAATGGACCAGAGACAAGTTAACAAACAGGTTGGCCATAGGCCTGTTGACCTGATGTGAGCCAATAGACTGGTAGTTGGTTGACAAGAGAGTTACTAACCTGTCGACCTGCTATTTTCCAATGGGTTTGTGGCTTCTTGACATGTTGACCTGTTGTGCGCTAAAAAAAACCAATGGAACTTGTCACAATCCTTTTGATTGATTAAAGCATTAGTGATTAATTGTATAAATTAAACTTCATTGGGTAAAAATTAATTATTACGGAAAGGTTACTATCACTAGATGTGAAATACAGTAACATCATATTGTACAAGACAACAGGAAAAGTTATAATTATAGTAGTAGAAGAAAGTTGATGAGACCTATTGAATTTTATCAGAGCTACCTAATTTGAGTATCGATAAGGTTATTACTTTCATCAGGTTTTTTTTTTTAACTTTAAGATTTGTATCCACTGTGTAACTACCCTAAGATTTCATTGCCTGACAAATATTTTCCTTCCTCAGAATAATAATGAGAGCTAATATGGACATGCCGTGCATGGAGCTGGCCCTTGAGGGGGAACGACTCTGCAAGATGGGATGTTGCCGGGAAGGGGTAGAGTATTTTGAGGCTGCTGTCAAAGTGGGAACAGATGATTTGAAGACGCTAAGTGCAATCTACAGCCAACTGGGAAATGCTTACTTCTACTTGCAAGAATACGGAAAAGCACTCGAGTACCATCGTCATGATCTGACGTTAGCCAGGTACTGTACCGCTAGCCTATTGTTTTTAACGTACAGAATTCTGAGACCCTTCTAAAACTAATCTAAATTTATTCAGTTACTGTACTAATCAATGCCTATTCAACATCAGGGTGAGTTTATGCACAGTGTTTGTATGTAAAAAAGTGCTCTAGTGATAGCAATATTTTATGTATTAATTCTATGATTGCTAATGTTTTAATTCGAGACCACCTTCTTGGACCCTCTATTTGGTCACCAAATAGAGGGTTAAACTTACCTCTGTGTTAAAAGGTTTGTTAAGAAGAATTGTTAGTACTTGAAGAATCTCAGAATTGGAGGGGTGTTAAATTCGATTAATTCAAACATCTGTATGTTTTTATTTGTTTTCATGATTATTTTTTATAAAACCTTCTCTGTGTCTTTGAAAATAATTCATTATACAACATATCCATTTTTTTTTTCCATAGCTTGGATTCAGATCAAGTGTTATGTATCTATTTCATTAATGTTTTTTCCTTTCATATTTTAATTAATTAAGTTACCTGTGCTCAAAATTGAAGATCAAAAATCGCATCTAGATCAAAAAAAGGTTTCTATTTATGTATTTAGGCATGACATTTGATAATGAATTACACAGAGAGGAAGCCTATGCTTGTTGCCAAAGGTCATATATGAATTTAATCATTTTCATGTTGATGAGGATCTAATATTCCTCACATACAATAATATGTGATTTTGTATAGTTCTCTTCAAAAACTGCTTGGAAAGTCAAAATTTTTACTAAAATAGCCTATATCAGAAACTAAATTTAACGTACGTCGTCAAACCAAGGAAATTTGTTGTTTGTAAAACAGATTTGTTCGTACAATAATTATTTTCAATAGGCATACGATGTGTGCTTGTCTTTCTTGCCTAGCTAGGCCTAGTCGTTTCATAGACTAGGTAGGAAGGAACAACACTAGCCAACCAAGGCCTAAAATACATCGCCCAATTGAAGCCATCTGGGCTTGGTTCTTAAAGGCATATTCTCCAACGATAATGAAACAAGATTAAATAATATTTTTTGATTATGTAGTAAATGATGTAAAATGTATTAAAAACAAATTGGCAAGCTGGCATTGACCAGAGCGGGTAAATTTCCAACTTGTAATTAAATATTTGTTTTTTTGGTTTTTTTTTTATTAAAATTATGTTTTATATTTATTTTTACACCTTTAATCTTTGTTGTTCCTTTGTGATACTCTACATGCTCTTAGCCATGACCCATGTTTTATGCTACATTTTTTTTATAGTATTGAATAAAGAATGATTATTTTTCTATAGTACAACCATACAGTATGTTGTATATTGCAGTGCCCATTTTGAGTAGCATTGCTTTTCTACCTTCTTGAAAGTATACAACTCCTTTCAATCTAAATATAAGTGATTGATCACTTAAAAAACATTTGATCTTTAATTATGGAAATGTACTGATGTATTGTACAATCATCATCCATGGACTGTAATGAACTACTATGATTAGCAAAAACCAAGCTCGACCAAGGAAATGTTAAAAGCTTCTTATTGTGGATAAGCAAGGGTACTAATCAAGTTGAGGTGAACTCTAATTTCTAAAATAAAACCATATATTTATTTTTTTAAATTAAAAGCCTAGTGCGCCCTTGGCATTTTCAGTACTATTTGATTTGACATAAAGACTCCGGTTGAAACCCAGTTGGCGTCGGGTTTTAATTAGAATCAGATCACTTTGCTCCTTGAATAACCCAGCTTGTGAGAGTTAGGTGGGATTAGGGACAATGTACATCCAGGTACTGGTGTGGTACTGTAACTGCTGTGAGTCCCCAAAGGCCATGCAAAATTTCCAATTTCAAATATTTGGAATTGGACAAAAAGAAGAATATTTAATCTTTTTGCATCATAGATGGCAGGAACAAAGCCGTTTGCATCAGCAACTTTAAAGTATCAATTTTTCTGTGGCTTTGGGGAAAGCTGCATGGTGTGATGGTAAAAAAAAACTTGGGGCTTTCAGACAGGAGGTAGTGAGTTTGAGACAATGATATTCAGCTCAGGTTGCCTCTCTTCACCCAGGAGTATTAATGGGTGCCTGGTCATTAATTTGTATAACATAGCCAAATTTTTTCTTCTCAGGAATCTACTGTAGCTTTAATCATATTTCTAAAATTGTTGAAAAAAATATATATACCTTGTTTTGGTAAGATAATACAAATTTAATGTGAAATCATGTGTACCCTTCCAACTTTTTTCCCTTCACGGTGCTGTGTTGTTGGCACTCTGATGAGCTTATACGAAGGATAGGGGAAATAGTAACAATCTCACTTTGATATCACATTGTGCAAGGCCTGTGATTTTACATTACAACTCAAATCAATACCTTAATCTTCAATATAGTCCTAAAAGCTACATTAATCTTACTTCTGAAAATAAGTATGGTTGGTCGTTGACTTCTAGAAGATCTCTCTTTGTAGCTGTCTTGCGTTGAGGAATGAACCTGCTTTGAACCTGGGGTGGTATGACCATCTTGAAACTACAAGATTTCCTTCAGTCTGTTCTATTACTGTTTTTACGTAGACACTATATCCCAAGCACTCTTTGGTGCATTAAAATCTCATATATAAATCTCAAGTAATGCAGTATCTTGTGTTGTAATCTAAATTACAACAATAAACAGATAAAACAGAACATCATTTTACGTTCTGTACCCATTTGTCTCATAAACCGCAGGCTGACTGAAGGTTGGATAATAAAAATATTGATATCTTATGGAGTCTCTTTATAAGGACATGAAACATGACAGGCATTTTCTATAGTTTTTGAGTAGGACTTTTTGACGTTCACACTATAACCACAACTCAGGAGATTTTAACCCGGGTATTAGAAAATCCCGGGTTACAGTACGTCCGGAATTTTGCTTGCAGTATAAAAGGGGTATCATATGGTGGGGGGGGGGAGGGGAAGGGAACCCAAAATTACCCCATTTTTAAGAGAACTACAGTATGTCTCTACTGTTGTAGCTTCATGTATATAGCTCACTGATGACCCAATACACTGTACGTTTGACATTTTTTAGTGACTTCCATTTCTCAACGAACATTAAAAATGACAGTAGAATGTACTGTCAATTTATAGCTGCCTGATCTTGTCAATCACAGGCTGTTGTTATAGTGCACTGTGGTTTAATGCATACAATGGATTAATGCTTCAGCCCAGTAGAAAATCTAATTGCATTCTCAACTTAACTTTTGCTAATTGCCGGTGCCAACTGCCAATTAGGAATACTTTATTTGTTTACATCTGGTAGAATGTTGCTGGTGAATTTCCCTTTTTTATTGTGGTGATAATTTAATGAGTTTATCTTGACAAAATATATTTCCTGTCTATTGTGCTATGGAGAAGTAATTTTAGTTCAGTTTCCTGTTATGTTGAACATACTGTACATAAAATTGGTGCACTCTAACTATTAAAACCCTTTTCTTTTTTTTAGCATACTAATTCTAGTAAAGTGTACATACATTTCGCTGATTCTTTTACTGTATGTCATGGATCTGAAGTGCAACTTCTGTTTTTTGGGAATTAATTGATAACATTTATTTATAGCGCCAAATACAGATGTTTGCTCATACTGTAAGTGCATGGGAATATTGTAGAGTGATGAACATTGCACTGAATACTTCTGTTTTGTGGGAATCAATTGATAACATTTATTTATAGCGCCAAATACAGATGTTTGCTCATAAGTGCATGGGAATATTGTAGAGTGATGAACATTGCACTGAGTAAAATCATACTGGTCTAAAATTTGTTTGAAATTTTACATCAAGTTTTCTGCCTGAATCTGGGACTCATAGATAAAAATACTGATACTTGTATTGCCAAATTATTTAATCTTCATCCGTTATTTCTCCTTAACTAAGAATATAAGGGATGAAGATATAATAACTTCATAATGCAAATTGTTTTTGAGTGTCAAAAATACTGTAAGTTATTGAAGTTAATCCATTGTGAACTAATACTGTTAATATACTAATACTGTTGAAAAATAATATATTTTAATATATATTTGGTCTATTTTGTGTCTCTACTGTCCTCCTTCACAGCACAATTGGTGATAGACTCGGAGAAGCCAAGGCTAGAGGTAACCTTGGCAACACACTGAAGGTTCTTGGGAAATTTGATGAAGCTGTGATGTGTTGCCAAGGGCACCTTGACATCTCCAGGGAATTAGGTGATAAGGTAACTATTTATAGTTTTTTGTTAATCAAAAGAGAAAATGCTACTCATGCTTCATGCTGCTCTTGGCAAATGTTCTATTTGCTTTCAAGAACACCGGAGATGTCACTTTCTACTTTATCTGTCACTTTCTACTTTATCTACCATCATCAACAATTTTCCCATTTTTATCCAATTCTAAATATTTGAAGTAGGAAATTTTGGGTTAGAACTCGCGGCAGTTGCGGCAGAGCCCTAGTATCCGGATCGGGAGCTAACCCTTAGCACCTGCGTGAGAACGCCCGATTGGTTAGCGCTAACCATTAGCAGTATCCGGATACCACTAACGGTTAGCAAGCGCTATAGGTTAGCAAGTTCAGCGCGTTTTTATCATCAACCAATCACACGTACGCGTTTACAATTTCCAGTTTCTTATTGGCCAGTGATTCGATAGTCATATTTTTGGTATCCGGATCGGGATTTTCTCGTATGGATGCACGGCAGCTAACGGTTAGCAGGATCCAGATCCTGCTAACCGTTAGCTGCCGTGTGAGAACATAGCCATAATTGATACATTCTTATCCTTTATAACTCACATGCGAAGGTTATTCGAGGAGCAGTGAGATGCAACTTTAATTTAAAAACCAGACACTGCCGGGTAACAACCGGAGTCCACAGCACAAGAAGCAGCAACATTACCTCTAAGCCAAATGCTCTGCTTCTACTTTTGAGGTCCAAATGTCCTATCCTTTTGCAACCTTTGTGGACTCAACCTACTTTCTACACTACAGGATGATATCATAAACATGTGACCTATCATATTTAAGATATCATTATAAATATGTCCTCTTTCATCTTGGCTCAATGTATACAACATTTTCAGACCTTTTTGTATAGTAAACTCACATACATATCAGTATATCTGGGGTAAGGATCATGTTCAGGATAGTGATTTTTCTGATTTTTTTTTCCGTTACAGATGGGTGAGGCTAGAGCATTGTACAACCTTGGGAATGTATTCCATGCAAAAGGCAAGCATTCTAATGGAAGCGGACACCAAGATCCTGGAGATTTCCCGCGGGATGTCAAACAGAGCCTTCTCACAGCTATCGACTACTATGAGTATGCCTTCTAGATTTCATTTACACAATATTCAATACAATTTTAAAGTACTGCATATGCTGGCACCCTTTTTTGTACTGAATACTTGAAATGTGTGGGTATTAAATAATATCTAATATTTTTATGAAGGATAAAACTCAGAGTAAATAGCACCATGTTTTTAAATCTGTTCCTGGTAAAACAATGAACATATAAAATATCACAACAATATTATAATGAATTGTTTATGGAGTAAACAAGTGAATGGGGGAAAAACTTACATGGGGAGTGGAATAGTGGATTGGAGTATTTCAGTGTGAATCGCACCAAGGATAGCCCACTAAATCTGAAAACATGTTTCTAGTGGGGTCTTTCAGGTGGTGAATTGGCCAGTACACCGCGAGACAATCGCCTACTCATTTACGAAGAATGTACTGCGTTCTTGAACGTGCACATGGGCCATGTTTCACACAGGACCAACAGCCTAAACGTCTCATCCGAAAGATGGTGCGCTATCATAACTTGTATTTCAGCCCTCCAGCTGAAACACAAGGAGAGCAATGATTGAGGCCTACAGCCATTGAACCGGGGACCTAGAGATCTCCACGGTCAGCGCACACACGGTGGCTACCACCAATTTAGCCGACTGAGCTAAGCTGCAATAGAAAATAACAGGAACATATAAAATACTGAGGAGAGGAGTAAACATTTTATATTGAATCTGGGTCACTTTTTTTAATGCGGTTCAGTATTTGATTTTGCCAACAAACCAAACTAATACAAGGATTCATTTGTTATTATCCTGTAATATTATGCCTGTGCGCTAATATAGATCATTGTTCATTTTTTTGTTATGATCGCAACAGTAGCCGGAGTATTGAAGTTTAATACACAACAGCAAACCAAATTTATAAGGATACACTCTACATTTGGTACTGTAGTGTAATATTAGTCTCGCGCTGATATAGATCAATCTTTCATTTTTTTTATTATGATTGCATATTAGGGTAACCAGAGTATTGAAGTGTCATACACATCTGCATTGACATAATTGTCTTGTAAGATAATGAATATATATTTCCCTAATCTTCACATTAATGAACACGGATTATATTTCCAAAAATATTAATATCTGCTGACGATAAAACTAATTTACTGTTGGCCAAGTTTTTATGAGTCACATTATCTCTCTTCTTCTTCTTATTACAAAACATAAAGTTTCCAGTGTTCTGTAATTAATCTGCATACTCAAAAGTGACTCTTTATTACTTGTAATTCAACTATTCTGACGTCTGCAATTGTGTTCCATCAAAACAGGCCATCTACGCAGTGTTCGCTTGCTGTTTCTGACAAAATTGAGAATGAATTAATGAATAAATATTATGTCCAAGTAATTTTATCCTGACTACTGTACCTGGTCCAATAGATTTCATCCGGTTTATTGATAGGAATGATATTTAAATTTTGAAAGATTCAGAAATGATTAAACTCAAATTTACCCTTGTCTTGTCAATTATGAATTTTTTTGGGATGAATGTATTGTATACTTTGTATGTTTCACTCACAAAGATGATTATCATATTCATAGATCAAATCAATTTTGGGTTCATTATGTGGATCAAGAATGTGGTTATGATTTATCCATATTGGGATCATCAGATGTGATGATGATGGTCATAGATGACATCCATCTTGTGATTTTTAAAATCACATACACACAGGACTCAATTTTGATTATTCCTAGCTCTCGAGTTGAGTTGGGAAAGCAGGATTTTTTACGGCTTGTTACTAACCTCAGAGACTTAATTAGAAATTAATAAAATTTATCTTTAGACAGGCTGTGATTTTCCATACGCAAGCTGTGCTATACCCTGTTGGTTTGTGGGAGGCATACGCTTTTTTGTATGATTTTCAGACACAATTGCAGCATGTGAGAGGCCCAATGTTGTGACAAGACATTATATCAATAACGATTACTTTCACTTGTGGCAGTGCAGTAACTTGTCAAAAAATTGCAACATGCAAGACTAGTCTGATGCTGGGTATAGGCCAATATCAATTTTCTATGTGTTTCTGTCCCCTTGAAAAGTGGTTTCGAAAACTTCCTAATGAAATCCCGGATCCCCATTTTTCTGCTTTCCTATTTGCCATGAGAATATGGCAGCTATTTGCTGAGGAGGTCTGTCTGTTCACATTACAAATCCTGGCCATTTTCATTTGTCTACTTAGATCCTGATCTGTCTTCATTTAACACCAAATCATATAATACTACTTAGTAATAAAATGACATACAACTGCATTGAAACTGACAAACCTACATTACTGCACAGGAATGCAAATTGGGAATAATTAGGCAAACTTACACATTGCATTCTCATCTAGGTGCAAAATGTCCGTGTGTTGCAACTTGGATATACATAAGCAAAGAGAATAAATATCAAAATTATAATTGACTTCCTGGATTGAAATATATGAACTACTGTATGTGTAGAATTGTTCAGCTTTTTATTAACAAGGTGCAAATCTCTTTATTATAAAAATTACAACAGATAACTTGTGTTTGAAATCTTTATTTTGTGCAAACACATTGAATATTAAATCTCATGGTAGGTTTTTACTTTAGGATAGGCCTAGGCCTGATTCTAGGTCTAATGGCAAACTATTCCTTCTCATATACCAGGGGTGGGTATAAAAATGGGCCAGAAGGCCAAACTGAGAGTTGCAATCAGATTTACAGTACAACTTTTGACAATTTCCAGTGTGCTTGCAAAAACCTTCTTACACTGCTTTAGGATATACTGTAAATTTGTCAATTCATTTCTGAATTGTTTTGGGATATTGTACAGTATGTCTAAAGAAATTGTTTTAAAATGATCCGAGTCGTGGCAGACGGAGGCTTGGCTTGTACAATGGCAGGTTTAATCTTCTTCCCCTGCTTTTGTCATCTCTGTTTCCAACTCAAATGTTTTAATTTATTTGTGAGTAGGCACTAGCTGCGGCATAATACAAATTATATCTATCTTAACTCGTTAGTTTCGAATAATGAATCCATAAAAATATTTATCGGTTTCTGTAGGGCATATAAATAGGATTCATTGTTCTTGGAACTTAATTTACAAAAATATAAAAAATATATATTCCATTCTCATAAAAAAAAATAATTTTATGGACAGACGCAATCCTTTGAATCCCTACTTTATCATTATTTTTATGACCTTGATTTTAGATAAGTATAGTATGTTTGTAATCAAACGGTTTCGTTTTCATTTGTAAAGAAAGCAATTAACTAGCTCCATGGCTAAATGTCTAATCTAGATTAAACTGGATGGTGTTTGTAATTAGATATTTATTCCAAACATAAAAGATAATTATATCTCACATATTGGCTACTCTTTAACACATAATTTATTATTTCCTAACTTTGCTTGCATGTTAAGCCTTGAAAGTTCCACGATTCGATATTTATTCTGATCGTAGACGACAATGCTGTACTTTATATCTTTCAAATTGACCAGTGTTTCAAATACAAATAACATCAAACTTTTTATGATAATCAAAGTCATCATAAATACATTCTTCCTTACTCAATTACCGTGGCTTCAACTGAAAATATATTCTGCTCCCTCAGCCTTGGTGATAGACAATTGATTCCCAAAAGATTAGTTTGAGCTTGAGTGACACCCTTACTGCTCTTTAAAGAATTGTTAAAAAGTTGGTTGTAATGATCATACCAACTGATCAGTCTTAGTTGGAACCTTCGATGCTCTCTGAAGCCTCATTAAGAGAATTCAGTTAGCTACGTTGAGCATTCCAAATGGTCTGTTTTGCTGGAAACCTTAGTACATTTTGTTGGCTCATTAAGAGATTTTAATTGGCTATGTTGAGCATTCCAAATGGTCAGTTTCGCTGGAACCCTCAATACTCTCTGAAGCCTCATTAACAGACTTCAATTAGCTATGTTGAGCATTCCAGACGGTCATTTTCACCAGAACCATTAATGCATACCAAGTAATCAGATTGGCTAATAATTCCTGATGTTCTGTGAAGCCTCATTAAGAAACTTGGTTACACTAATTGATTCAATTGGATCGTTCACCCTAGTTAAATATGTTTACAGTGTAAAATACAGTAATACCTTACATTTTATAGGATATTGCTTTGGTCTGGTTTCTACTACTGGCGAACCTTGCATATCAAATCACTGCAGTGGAGGAAAAAAAATTTTTTTTTTTAAATGAATAAAAATGTTTTGCCTACTGACACAGTGAAATGCCCAATAAGGCTATATTTCTTCCTCACAATTATATAAATATGCATTTATCAAGCTATTTATTTGACTCAAATTGGAACATCAATTTTTGTTTTGAGACTATGATAATTTAATTCAGTTTCTTGCCAATGTTTGTTTTAAGAATACCATCATAAATTTCATTAATAAAATACATCATGATAAAGAATAGATAACATAGAGATTAATAACTCTTGTGTTGGTCTTTCTTTGATCTTGTACATTTTATTCTTCTTCAGAGCAAACCTTAAACTTGTGAGGGAGCTTGGAGATCGTGCAGCCCAGGGGAGAGCTTGTGGTAACCTTGGTAATACCTACTACTTACTAGGAGATTTTGATGTTGCTATTAAGTACCATGAAGAGGTATAGAACAGCTCTAGCCACAGAAATGTGCTTGAGGGCGCTTTTTTACCATTATCCACAACTTAAGTCCTGTCCAGACTATCAAATTTTATTTGACAAAAACAGGTGACATGCCTATGTAAGTTCATGATGACATCACATCATGACCGTATCAGTGGTGGCGCCAGGACCTGCCCGACGGAGGGGATAAAGGCCCCGACGGGGGGCTAGTGGAGCGAATCGAGTGTCACTTGGCTGGGGGCCGCCTAGGGCCCCCGGTGGGGGTCCAGGGGGGAAGCCACGGATATTCGATGAATTATGGCGAATTTTTATTACTTATTTGATAGGCATCGAGTTACTATAACATGACTTCATGTAGGCTATGCTTTCTAATGTTGACATCAGCTTCCAAAACCGAAACATTTTGAATAAAGCAAGAAACAAAGAGTATGCAATGTAACCATCTAATTTATTTTCAAATCCTCATTCTTGAAAGTGAAATTCTATATTTTGGAAATTTGCATGAAATCTGTCAACCACGTTGTCATGGTCGAGGTTGCTTCACCTATCACTATGTATTCCAACCATCATGAGGCTATCTAAATGAGCATTTGTCATAACAGAACGCAAATTATTTTTAATTAGTCTCATTGAATTATTATTATTATTATTGTTATTGTGGTTTTTGTTGTGATGAAAAGTTAACACAAACAATATAGTGGCTAAACGAATATTACATGTAAATATTTTTTTTTATTTGTTCCCCGACAAAATTTATCTTCTTTCCCGACGGGGGGGGGGGGGTTATGCTTCCCCGACAGGGGGGGCTACAGCCCCCAGCCCCCCCTGGCACCACCACTGGACCGTATATAAACATATCATGACTATATATGGACATACAACAGTTCATTGTCGAAGAAAATTTGATAATCTGGACAGAGCCTTTAGTGATAGATGATATTTACCTACGATGTGTTCTCAGGGCAGATTCAGAGAAGTGCAGTGAGCTAGATTAAAGGTTTTTTTTTTTTGAATAAAAGATTTTATTCATTTTTTTATTGTCAGATTGTTAGAACACAGTCTGCAAGCATCAAAATATGATTTGATCTTACTCTGCATACTTGGATACAAAATAAATATATATTAATTATAAACTTTTAAAATTGTGAATAAGTACAGGTAAAAATTGAATAAAAAGGAAAGGGAGTCATAATAATCGGTTTAGCTTATAATTTTGTAAAATTCAACCCAGACTGTTACTGAAATCAGAATAATTCTGTATTCTTCTCTTCTTTTCAGCGATTATTTATTGCAAAAGAATTTGGCGATAAAGCAGCAGAAAGACGAGCATACAGTAACCTTGGTAATGCTCATGTTTTCAAAGGTGAATTTGAAACAGCTGCAGATTATTACAAGTAAGTGATTTGTGATGTCATCAATGATCGTCATTATGTTGCATCGTTACAAACAGCTTGTAATTTAAAGTGCACATGCCTGTTTAAAGGTCAAGGTTTATTG